GTGATGGATTAAAAAATTCATTTTTTTAAGGAAAGATAAAATTCATTTTCACAAATTTACAAGTGTTGTTGCTGGTGCAGGATTTATTCTACTAAGCAATTAGACTGGGAATCAAATGCAAGTCCCCCCTTCTTACTCAGGAATCAGCATTATTTCAAAATTATGGGGTTTTGTGGAATTTCTTAAATCAAGCTACAGTCTGTTTCCACTAAGTGATTTTGATTTGGAAGTTAGAAGTCAACATCAAGTATGTTCCGCACAAACCCCAAGGCATCTCCTTTTCATTTGAGCCCATTTTTGCAAACGGGAAAAAAGAGTTTCTCTCTAAAGAGCCACTAAAGAGAGGAAGGGAGTCAGTGAGAGTCGGTGTTCTAGAAGCGGGTGTTGGGCACATGTGGCGCGCAGGCGGTCACAGCAGGTCCACTCGGCGGTAATACAAGAGGTAGGCTGTGCAGTCAGCAGTGGGCTTCACCACCTGGTACTGGTTAATCACCTTGACCAGCTGGTCATCGATGGGCAGCCAGCCGTTCAGACCGATCTGGAAGACGTCTGTAGTGTAATGACCACTGTTGCGCTGCTGCCATGATGGGAGACCACTGCAAAGAGTCTATAGGTTCTGTGGCATTTAAAGTTCTTATTTTTAACAGATGGAGAAAGCAGTTCTTTACTAATTTCCAAGTCCACAGGATATTCAACATTTTTTATAAGCTTCTGACATCCACCAGTCTTCTCATAAACAAATCGTTTCAGGTGCATCACGAGAACAGGAGGAAGTTTTTCCAGAGTCACTCTTCGACTGATCTCAACCTCTTGTTTGGTTTTTGTGGTGTAACCTTGGACAGATTCTCTTGCCACCAAGCTTTCCAACGCATCCTGGACTGTACGTATCTTGTCAGACTGGATATCCAACTGCAACGTGAAAAATGGCTGCAAAGTGGCAGATTCTTTTGAACTCTGCTGGTAAACCACAGACCTGATGTGTCCTCCAAAAATGCCAGTGATTGGGGTCTGAACGAAGTTTGCCTGGTGAGTGACTGAAGTCTCATTTCGGGGGCCCACTTGCTCCCATTTGTCCTCACTTCCTTCGCCTGGTTCTTCCTGCTCTTCCTCGTTCACTGAGTGGCTTTTGGGTCCATTGTAAATAGTGAGTTTTTCATTATTTGGTGAGAGAAGTTTCTTTAGGTTCAACATTTCCTCGTGAAGACCATTGAGAATGAAGCCTAAGTATTCCTCAGCATCTTCTTGTTGACACTTTTCAGACAGGCTGGACTTGATGACTGTCAAGAGTCTATAAATATATGTGGGTTCAAAGGCAGCTCCAGGGCGGATATCCCTCACAATTTTGTCCCCAAGAGCTTGTCTGGGTTTTGGAGGTACAGGCATGTTAGTAAACTCATTCATTAGCCAAACAAAGCTGTCCATCATGGGCGTTGATGTGCAAGGCCTTTGCACTTTCAAATACAGAGGAATGAATTTCATCAGGTGATAGATACATTGGAGGGCAAGCAACCAGTGCCTGCAGTGTAGCATTAATGTAGCACCAGTTTCCTTTATTGATCAGCCCACGGGGTTGCAATGACACTGGTTTATGTATTAGGGTTACATTCTCCAGTAACTCTCACGGGGGCAGCGGGCACTTCGGTGTCTAGGTGGCTGTGCTGACCCTCTCCGGGCTGAGGCCACAGCCACTGCCTACAACAGTTTTTTAATCCAGTCATCTACCAATGGGCATTTCGGTTGTTTCCAAGTCTTGGCTATTGTGAATTGCGCTGCAATAAACATATGGGTGCATATATTTTCTCAAATTAGCGTCTTGGGTTTCTCTGGATAGATACCCAAGAGTGGAATTGCTGGGTCATATATGTCTGTTTTTATGCCAGTACCATACTATTTTGATTGCTGTAGTCTTGTAGTATGGTTTAATGTCAGGGAGCGTGATACCTCCCACTTTGTTCTTAATTCTCAAGATTGCTGTGGTTATTCGGGGTTTTTTATGGCTCCATATAAATTTTCGGATTATCTGTTCTATTTCTGAGAAAAATGTTCCTGGTAGTTTGATAGGAATTGCATTGAATCTATATATTGCCTTAGGTAGTATTGACATTTTAACTATACTAATTCTTCTTATCCATGAACATGNAGCCAGCAGCCAATGTGAGTGGCCAGCAGCCAATGTGAGTGGCCATCCAGAAGCTGGCGACTGATCTGCCTCTCCCGGGAAGAGCGCAATGATGGTGCCAACTTGGGTCAGTGAAGCAACGTCCTCCACAACTAGACTGAAGAACAAAATGACAGCAACTTGCCTGTTCCCCTTCCCCCAATTCCCCAACACTGTTCCCATCCCCTCAACTCCCCAATTAAAAAAAAAATCTTAAAAAAAAAAAAAGTTGAGATAGGGCATTTGGACATAGTGTGCCTTTTTCCAGAACTTCTTGGCTGCTGTAGCACAGGTGTGGAGAAACAGACAATAGGGTCCACTTAAGATTGGAATTTTGTCAGACAGTTATAATGGAAAGACAAAGGGCTGAAGAAATTTATAGATCCATGGGACTGTTACTGAGATGAAGAACTGCAGACTTTAAGCTGGCTGAGGAGGGAAATAAAGATGGAAGGGGGCTGACAGACTGGGAGAAAGTAAAAGGGTCAAAGAGCCAGAAATTCCCATTAAGCCCACGTTATGGATTCAGTTGTGTCCTCTAAAATTCATATGTTAAATCTCTAACTCCCAATGTGACTGTATTTGGTGATAAGGCTTTAAGGAGATACATAAGGCTAAATGAGCTCATAAGGGCAAGACTCTGATCCAATAAGATGAGTATTCTTATAAGAAGTAGAAGACACCAGAGCTCCTAATCTCATTTCTATATGAACCGAATGGATTTATCTCCATGCTTATCTCATTTGCTCTCTTGGCCACATTTAAAACAGCTGGTCACCCTCTTCTGAAAATACTCTCTTCATGTCAATGCCAAGTTGCCCTCTTACCTCTGTGGCTAATTCTTCTTAACTTCCTTGGCAAATTTGTCTCTTTTATACCATTACATGATGAATTTTCTTAAGGCTCAGTCCTGTAGACAAACCCAACAATGGTGAAGCAGGAGACAAAAATGAAGTAAATGAGTCAGGTGGAAACGTGTCAGGCCAGAGAGCTCATGATCCATCTAGATGGTAACTGCAACCCTGCTCCAGCCAGTTTTTGCCATGCTGGAATGGGAACTCAAGGTTGTCAAAGGTTCAAATTTTCAGAAAAGTTGGAAATCCAAATATTTATATTAAATATTCTTATTTTTATGTTAGCTCAATTTTTATTTTTAATCCCTTGTTAAACGACAAACTATAATATGGACTATCATCTATAATGTCTGCCCCAAATTCTCTCCATCTCTACAATTTCAGTTGCCAACTCAACACCAATATTTGCCACATTTATACCTCTATCCTAGATTTCTCCTCTAATCCATATATCCAATCTTATAGTCAACATTTCCATTTGAAGACCTCAGTGCACCTTGAACTCAACATGTCTATAGATCTCATGATTTCACTCCTTAGACCTACTCCCTTTCCAGTATTCCTAATTGCAGTGAGTAGTACTACCATTTATTTCCTTGTGAAAACCAGAAATCTAGGAATCTCTATTAATAACTCCCTATCCCTCAACCTTCATATCAAAACTCTATGACCTAAGCATCTTGGTATTATCCTATTGGTCTTAATTCGTAAGCATCTCTCAAATCTGCCTGCTCCCAGCTACTCTTTTAATCCCAGCTACCATCATCTCTCACCATCACAACACAATAACCTTTTAGCTGATGGCTCCACATTCAAATTCAATTCAATCATTTCTCAACACTGCATACAGTGAGATCTTTCCAAAATGCAAAATTGATCATATGCCTATGCTTCCCCTCTTCCTCCAGCCACTTCAATAGCTTTCTATGTTTCCAAAATCTATAACACAGCCTACAAGGCCCTGTGTGTTCAAGCTCCTGCACATTTCTCCGCCCACGTCTCCTCACAGTCTCTCCCTCTCTCTGTATTCCAGTCACTCACACTGACCTTCTTTCAGCTCTTTAAATATACTATATTCACTTCCATAATGGGACACGGGAAAGGTCTTCCTTTCATTCCCAAGTCCCTCTCCTTACTGTTTCCTCTAATTAACCCCACCCATTTTTGGATCTTTAAGACCCAGCCTAGGTCTTTGCTGTTGCTCTCATAAAGATGTGTATCTACACTTAAGAGCCTTATCTCAGTTTATAATTAAATATTCTTCAGGGTGATTGTGTGATTAATGTCTTCTCTCCTATTAAGTGAAAGTTTCATTTATTCAACACTGTTAGCTCCTTGACAACAGAGATTATGTATATTTTTTTATCACCCTGGATTTCTATTGCCTAGCTTAGTATGTGGCACACTATAGGCCCTCAATAAGTATTTGTTGAATAAACAAAATCCTATATCTTTTCTAAATAAAATTGTCTTGCCCATAGACACTAAGAAAGAAGCAAGGAGCCATGTTTTACACCATAATGCCAGCATGCTACCTACCATGGCTGATTAGATCAAAGGAGAATATCTTTTTTTAAAATTATTATTTTTTATTGTGAAATACATTTTTAGAATTAGTTTCAGCTGTACAACACAGTGCAATAGTTATACTTTTTACCCCTCGAGGTGACAACCCCCCTCCCCCAATCCAACGCCCCACTTTCCCGCCCATATCATACATATCTATTACAATTCCCTTGACTCCACTCCCACACTATACCCCACGTCCCATGACTATATATATATATATATATATATATATATTCCACATATAAGTGAAATCATATGGTATTTGTCTTTCTCCGACTGACTTATTTCACTTAACATAATAGTCTCTAGGTCCATCCGTATCATCCCAAATGATACGATTTCATTCTTCTTTATAGCAGAGTAATACTCCATTGTATAAGCGTACAACAGTTTCTTTTTTTTTTAAACCAACTTTGTGACTTTTATTGATGGGCGACAACTTTATACTCCTAGATATCACTAAACTGTGTACAATTAGAGACGCAGCATTATAGAAGAGCAGGCAGCAGAATTAAACAGAGCAGACTTAAGGAAAAGATCAATCTTCATTAATTTGCCCATTTTTCATTATGTGTACACAGAAGCATGAATGCAATTTGAAATCTTTTAATGGCAATAAAGTTGCAATCACCTGTCT